TATTTTTAAAAATTTACTAAACTAAACACCCTACAGTATCTTTACAGTCTTTATTTTACTGTTAAAATATATGTTTATTAAATAAAGTCTAATGTTACAACTAATCATGAATCCCTTTAACGATAACTGGTTGCAGTTTGTTCCTTAAACATCCGGTTTCACCAGTTTTGATGAAACAACTGGTCTTTTTGTGTTGCAGACCCCCCAGAGATTTGGATTCAAAGGCTTGTGTAACAATCGGAGAAAAGGTAATTTATTTCTGTCTTGTTCCAGCTCCCGCTCGGGGTTTTGTGTTTTGTCGTAACGTCTCGGTGAGGCCTTTTACTGTTTGTTGTCGACCCACTCCGGCTGGATCAGTTCAGGTTCTGTTCGCCCCGCTGAACATTACAGCTGTCGTCTGATCGCGGGGACGCTGGAATGCTCTTTAATGCCACTCAGGCAGTAAAAACATTTATTTTAAACTCATCAAATAAAAGGGATTTTTCCACTGGAGTGAGAATAATTCAGAGATGATGCGTTTGAGGGACGTACGTTTTTAGACGTTTCTCCTTGTATCTGATCAACATGAGCTTTTACGTCTAAAGCAGTTGTGATGGAGCGTTTTTTTTATCCTCACGTTGTGTCCGGAGCAGAAATGTGAGGTGAAGGCGGACGACCTGGAGCAGATCTGTGAACTGGGCCGGGGAGCGTACGGAGTGGTGGACAAGATGAAACACGTCCCGTCTGATCTGATCATGGCTGTGAAGGTGAGTGAAGTCCTTCGCCTGTTTACCTGGAGCCCAAAACTCTTTGATCATTTCTGCTTCCTGCGGTTCTGCTCCAGCGGATCCGGGCCACGGTGAACACTCAGGAGCAGAAGAGGCTGCTGATGGACCTGGACATCTCCATGAGGACAGTGGACTGTTTTTACACCGTCACCTTCTACGGAGCGCTCTTCAGAGAGGTAGCATCATAAATGACCACTAATCTGAGGGGATTGAATGATAATTCTGTTTGGATTAACACGAACGAACATCTGTCCTGAGAAATCTAAACACTAACAAGCAGCTGAGTTAAAATCTGAGCAGTTAGATAATTTACAGTTTATATTATCATGTTAAAGTGATCCATGGTTACTTGTAACATTAGACATTATTTGATAAACATTTACTTAAACTGTAAAATAAAGATATATAAATAAAATAAATACATATTTAAAAATATATTGACACACTTACGATGCTATTTTATTAACGTTGCAAAGCACACTGGGTAAATGATGACATAAACTAGGTTTTCCCATGTGAGGCTGTGTGCGCTCTGATCCACCCTGAAGGTTAATCTTGGACAATATCTGATGAGCAGAACATCTAAATTAAACTAGAACCCATCGACAGAGAAGAGATGGTAGAAATAACTCGGSCTGAAACTGAAAATGATGATGGAGGGCAACAGAACTGCTTCAAGGAAGGAGAACATCAGTTTAGCCCGTTAGCTTTCACGTTAGCGCTAAGTTAAAACATATATAACCATATAGCGTTAGCGCGAGCGAATACATATATGGCCATGTATCGTTAGCACCAAGCTAATACATACTGTATGTGGCCATGTATCTTTAGCGCCAAGCTAATACATATATGGCCATGTATCGTTAGCACCAAGCTAATACATATGTGGCCATGTATCGTTAGCACCAAGCTAATACATATGTGGCCATGTATCTTTAGCGCCAAGCTAATATATATATGACCATGTATCGTTAGCGTCAAGCTAATATGTACATGACTATGTATCGTTAGCGTCAAGCTAATACATATATGGCCATGTATCTTTAGCGCCAAGCTAATACATATGTGGCCATGTATCTTTAGCGTCAAGCTAATACATATATGGCCATGTATCTTTAGCGCCAAGCTAATACATATGTGGCCATGTATTGTTAGCGCCAAGCTAATACATATGTGGCCATGTATTGTTAGCACCAAGCTAATATATATATGACCATGTATCGTTAGTGTCAAGCTAATACATATGTGGCCATGTATCTTTAGCGCCAAGCTAATACATTTGTGGCCATGTATCGTTAGCGCCAAGCTAATACATATGTGGCCATGTATCTTTAGCGCCAAGCTAATATATATATGACC